TTCAAACACATATCTTGTTCCCCAAGGGAGTGCTTTTTGGTGGGATCTCCCATAACCAAATTGGATTGACTTTCCTCTTTCATTCACATTTTAAAAATTCTTTTATTTTTTCATCTCTTCCTCTCTCCTGGAGCCCCCCCCCCTTTTTTTGCTGTGAGACTACAGGTGTTACCTACCATTCATTGTTCACCTATAGACTTGCTTAGGGTACATCATGTATTTTCCTTAACAAAAATCTCCTTTGCCTCACTTTCTGACTCCTACCCCATGAATGAGTGAATTAAAGCTTGACATTCTCCAGTGTTCATTCTTAAAGCTGTAACCTTATTGTTCTTCTTTAGCTTTACTAAAATATAGGTAAACTATACTCACAGTGTTCCCCTCATCTACTATTTTAGTAATCCTGTCAAAAAGGGAAATATAATCAGGTATGACCTGTTCTTGATGAAATCATGCTGGCTCTTTGTAATTTCTCCTTCCCTTTACAGATGATTGTGAATCCTTTCTTTAATGATTTATTCTAAATTTTTTTTTTTTAAGGAATCAGAGTCAAGGTCTCTGGCTTAGAGTTTCAGTCTGTTCCCTTCTCTTTTTTGAAAATCAAGGCAAAATTTGTTCTCTAACCTCGTGGCATGTATTCTGCTTTTTATGATCTTTCAAATTTCACTGACCATTAGTTCAGCAATAAAAATTATCAGTGCTTTTGGGTCCCAAAGATAGACTTCATCTGGCCAGTTGACTACGATTTATCAACAGCAGCTAGGTGTTCTCTTACTCTCACTTGCTTATGTGGGTGTCAACTCCCTGTTAGTTATTTTTGTTCAGTCATTCACAATGTAAAAGTCATTCTTTTGCAGAGAAAACAAACAAACAAAAAAAAAGAGTTAAGAATCTCTGCTTTACTCTTTTGTCAGTTATCATCCCATTTGCCTGAAGCAAATGTCTTACACCTTCTTTGGCCTTTCTTTTTGTTTCAACATAGCCAGATATGCCCCTTTTGTTGTCTTTAGCTTCCCTTACCAACCTTGACTAACTCAGAGCTTTAGCACTCCTGACACTTTTTATAGGACTGTGCCATGTTCCTATGTCTTCTTGTATCACCAGGCCTTTATTCCGTTTAAAAAAATCCATTTAAAAGTAATTTTAAATATCCTCTATATCTGAGATCCCCTTCTCTCTTTGATGAGCTCTTCCTGGAGCATCCATTTTGAGAACAGACCCAAACTATGCCTTACTCTCAAAACTTTGCCGTCATACCTCATCTGCTTTCTCCTCACACTCCTTCAGCCTTCTTCCATTTGTGAGTTTTTTTCTGCAGCCTCCATCTTGTAGAAGGGTCTAGACCAGCCACATTTCATTCTCCAGACCTTGCCGTGATACCCCCATGTGGATACATTTTCTCCTCCTTCACTTTAGCCTCCTTAAATGTGTTGTCTTCCCCCAACAGAAAGTAAACTTTGCCTTGTATTTGTATCCATAGCACTTAGCACAGTACCTGGTATATAATTAGCATTTAATAAATGTTCATTAATGTGACTTTAAATCAAATTTGGTGGTGAGTTCTTTGTTCATCCTCATTGGCCTTTTCAGATCAATCTCAGTTTTCCTCCTTACTGGAACTGTTTCCTTTTAAATCTTCAGAATTTATTTTTACATGTTTCCTATTCCTCCTGGCCTGACTTCCCCTAAAACATTTTTTATCTATATATTCCTACCTGTTTATCCTCTGAACCTTTTGAAATCTGCTTTCTCAAAATCTAGAGTGCATGTCAAACAATGCCTGGAATTTTTCTCCTCTACCACAGACTCTTAAGATGGAGTGATCTTTTCCCGACAAGCTTCCCATCATTCTTATCACAGAAACACTTTCTTTGTTAGTGAGAATCAAATCCTGGATAGAATTTCTCATTGTTGGTTACTCCACATTTTAAAGGATGGAATTAATACAAAGGCAAATAAAATAAGTTATGGAATAATTGAAGTTGCTCATCAATATTGTATAATGCCCCTCTTGTGCCGGGCTTGTGATTTGTTCTCCCAACTTCTTAACTATTTCCTCTTTCTATCCAGATGGTCTGTGGTATACTCCAGTGAAAAAAATCACTTGTGTTTCTTCTTCTTGGGCCTAAAACCAAATATTCTCTGTCATGCTTCCCTTCTCTGAATTTCCTCATATGAGTATACCTTCTCAATATTCCTATCCTTTTTCTTTTGAACAAAGTATGCCTGTCCAGAGCCATAGTTCAGTCACGTGTTTCAACTGATAATAAATTTTAATCTTTGATTTCCTTTTATTAATTTTTATTATAAAGGGGGCAAGTCAGGGCCATTTCTGTTGGTTAGGAGATTGCTGAGTTGGTTGAAATCTGTCCTATGGGATGTAGAAATTTACTTAAGACCTCAAACATTCCTCAGATAAGAAGTCAGAGGAAGTATCCCAATTGTTCTTGACTCTTTGGATATCTTAGTGACATGTAAATCTTCCCTCTAAATCAGCTCATTATGAATCCTCTAAATGTAGTTTAACCTATAACCTGACTTAGTTTACCTATAAAGTCTGTTTAGTTAGGTTTGTTTCCTTAGGGAGTGTATGAGATTATGATTCTGTTTGACTGAATTTTTCACCTTTTATGACATAAAAAAAAGTATGGAATTAGGAATCTACTTATTATAACCTTTATAGCCTAAAAGAATGTATAAGACTGTAATATGTAAAATAATTTCTTACTTCTTACTCTGACCTAATTTTCTCTATGAAAGCTTTTCAGAAACTCCCATCAGAGCTCAGGGTTATTTTTTTTCCTACCTCCTGAACCTGTACTTAAGCACAATAAAACCTAGGTTTTTAATCTCCTTCGTGGTAGATTTATTTTAGCAGCAGTAACTTGCCACATGAACTAAAAAAAGGATATTTCTCCCATAAAGCAACTCACTAATCTCAGAGAGACACATGAGGTCTAATTTATCTTCTTCTGTTAAGATTACTGGTTCTCGTTTGTTCTCTACACTTTGGGCTTTCGTGTATAGACATTTGAAGCCCTGAGTTTTTTCTACTTGCCTCATTCTTGGATCCTGGATCCTATGAGACAGATTCCTCAGCTGCTATTCTTCATCCTTCTTTATGGCTACTCTCTATAGTATCTAATTTAGGGGATATACATAAGCAGTTTTCTATCTCCCTCATCCTTTAAAGCCCATTTGATTTAGATTTGTAAGACACCTGGCAAATAAATTCTTATCAGTCTTTGTTTGACATGCTATGTCTCTGGTAGAAATGTAGCATTTTAGGTTGTGCTCTAGAAATCTAAATTCTATTGATTATATTAGCACAATACATATTAGTACAATCAGTCTCTGGGAGTAGGAAGGGAGAAACTGTAGGCATTATCTTGAAGGAAGACACAAGTTTCTCCTATGATGGGGTTGCCTACAGCAGAGGTGTCAAAGACACAGCCTGAGCTGTCTGCAGGCTGAGTGCTGCCTGAACCAGGTTAAAATATAATTGGGAAATATTTGACAAAATAAATAAAAACAAAATAAAACATATATAATATTACATTTTAAAACTAAAACACTGTGTATGCACAGGGATTCTTCGTATGGATTAGTGGCCCAAATTATATTTGAATTTGATAGTACTGGCCTATTGAACATAAAAGATTGGGGAAGGAGGGCTTTCATTGCTTATATTTACATTTATTCTAGTCCTCATTACTCTGATGTGAAATAAGACAGTGCCATCATGGTGGATTTAGATTTCAGGTGCCATTTTTTCCCCTATCAGTAAAAATTCCCATACTAAAACACTTCTCTCCTCATTTCCACCTTGCTACCTGAAAGGGTAATCAGTAAGGTTTGTCCCACTTATATTCCTTGGATATGGTGTGTCTGAAACTCTGCTGATCGTTTAGTTACCTAGATGTCCAAGAATAGAAAAAAATGGAAAAATGGCCTTTTATGTTCCAATCTACCCCATGTGTCCTCCTCCACTCCTTATCTTATCTTGCATCCTTGTGCCACCTTTCTGTGACCATCCTCTTACTGTCAAAAGATCTGCAAATAAAAGAGGGAACTCGGTAATAAATGTAAAGACTTTGGCAGGAATCCTTACAAAAGCAGAAGAGAAGGATAGGTACAAGTGAAGCCAAAGGGTAAACACTCTTCAATCAGTTTTTTAAAAAGCTGGGATGGGAGATTAGAGGTTGAGGGCAAGCATGTGCACCAGGCTAGCCATTTTCATTAGATGAACATAGTGAAGAGGGTAATGTTTTGTGTTATAGGTCAGTATAGGAAATAGGATTTATGTCTCTCATGAAGATGAAAACACAGATGATCATGGGTATGTGGTTTGGACTTCTGAGGTTCATTAGGTTAAGATTCCTTGCTTGGGGATGTGGCTATTTTCTAACCCTCCCTCCTCATCTCTGCCTCCTGACTTTCTTCAAGTCCCAGCTAAAATCCCACTTCTACAATAAGTCTTTCTTGACTTCCCTTAATGCTGGTACCTTCACCCTGCTGATTATCTTCAAGTTATCGTATATAAATCCTGTTTGTACATAGTTGTTTCCATCTAGTCTCCCTCATTTGAACATGAGCTCTTTGAAAGTTGAGACTGTCTTTTAGTTTTCTTTGTATGCCCAGAACTTAGCACAATGCCTGACATAGAGCAGGTATTTAATACATGTTTATTAACTGACTGAAGCTGAGAGAGATTAGGCAAGTTGCTGAGAATCACAACTCTCATAAGTGTCTGAGACAATATTAGTCCTATATCCCTAAACAGGGCCAGGAAGAGTCAGACATGACTGACATTGCTTCAACAACAATTGAAAAAATATTAAAAAAAATAAATGTTATAAGCTTTATAAGGAAAATATGTCATTAAATCATATTTAAGAAATGTATGTAATCACTTAAATTGCTATGATTTTATTCAGTCATTTTTCTTCTTTAAAAAATTTCAGTGCTTGCCATTTACATTTTATTTTTTCCTTCTTCAGTATTTGGGCTGCTTAGAAGTTTTACGCTCAATGAGGTCTCTTGACTTTAGTACAAGAACTCAGATTACAAGGTAAGACTTCTTAAAAATTGCCTTCTTTTGTTTGTTTTTTGGAACATAATTATTTTTGTGCCTAGAAATTTCCAATACTGCTCAGTGGATCATTGCCATATGATCTATAATATTATAGAAGACACTGAAGGTATTACTGTGGCACTACCATTTACATTTATACATGCATATTTCAGTTAGTGAAAAAGAAAGCAAACTGTTCATTTTCAATTTTTTCCTTTTTTTTTCTTTCTCTCCCATTATTTTATTCCACTCATTTTTTTAGGAGGACAGCACTCCAGGTAATAAAGTTTAAACATTTTCAGTTTACAAATCAGGGCTGAGTATATGTAAGGAAAAGTAGAGAGAAGACAATAAATACATGATTACAATTTCCCAACACACACACACACACACACACACACACACACACACACACACACATCTCTTTGTAATGAGTACTCCCTCCGTCAGTGCAGATCACCAGCCATCCATGTTCTTTGGTACTTTACAGTTCTTATCAATGTCTTTTCTTGGGTTTTCATAGAGGATTTAGCCAGCCTTCCTCTAGGTCTTTTCTAACATCATGTATGGTCAGTAAAACATAAAGGACAGTAAATAGAATTTTTGTTGGGAATAGTTAATTTTTCAAGTAACCTAACTCTACAAATAGCAAAAAATTGTTCGTTTAAAATATTGTTTCTCAAATTTTATACGGTAAATTTCCCCAAGAAAGGGGGCTGTTTATTCAGCATTTTGCAATCCTGAAAAGTCAAATGATATCATGTATCTGTATGAATAATGGCATAGAAAGCTGATAAACTAAAAAGAATGAAGCTAGGAAAAGGTCTGTGATATTTCCATTTTGATGGATAAAGATCTAAATGAATTTTTTTCCTCCTTTGTTTAAATGTATCTGGAGATGTAAGTTATAGGGAAACATGGCTCTCATTGTTTACACTCTATTGCAAGAATCCACTTTTGACATTTGTATTGTCCAAGGGAGCATATTCTGTTGATATCCATGGCTAAAGAATGATAAATATGGATTTAAAGCTTTTAAGAAGAGCATAGGATTGAATATATACACTGAATTATCTGTGTAATTTCTAGAGTTTCTAAAAAAGATTATATTATTTCAAATATCTTTACAAAAATCTCTTGATGTATAGCTTTTCAGATTGCCCACAGATAGACTTAAAATGGACAGAATTGCTGCTATATTATAGAACAAAATACGTGAAGAAACTGCACATAGCTAGTAAGTGATAGAGGTAGGATTTGAATCCAAGTATGTCTGAATTCAAGACCAGCAAAACAAGAAGACAATGCTTTAAAATTTGCAAAGCAGATACTTTCATTCAATGCAAAATCCTTTCAACCTCTCAGCAGCTTTGTGAGATAGGTACTTTTCGGGGGTCTTAATTTATGATGTCATTAGTGTAGAGAACTCTCAGTGAGGAAATTCCTTGTACCAATACAGATAGTCAATGTATAGTCTTAATGAGTTGCTTGGGGGCAATGAAGGGTTGAGCGATTTGTTGAGGGGCACATGACCAGTATGTATTAGAGAAGGGACTTGAACCCAGATTGTCTTTACTACCTTCTATGCCACACTGTTTCTCATGAGATAGTTACTGCAGGTATTATTAGCCCCATTTTACTGGCAAAACTTGAGGCTCAGAAAGGTTAAGTGATAGGCTTACAGCCTTACTACTAGCTATATCAGATGAGAGATTTGAATCCACATCTTTTATTACAATGTCTTTTAAAAAAGAGTCACTAAGATCTCTTTGGTTTTAGTGAGATATTTGCTTTTAAAAAAATGAATGTATGTCTAAAGTTTCTTGTTGCTTTGCATTGATTATGAAGTGTATTTCTTATGTTGGCTATTTCTAGAAATCATTTATAGGGAATAATTTGGCAAAGAGAATGTCTTATACAAAGAACAGGTGGGAAGATGGTAGTGTGTAAGGTTGTAAAGCATCTCAGATCCTCCCCCCACCACCAATACTGATGTACACATTGTCAGAGCTAGCTCAGTGTTTAGGATGCTCTGAAGGAAAGTGTGGGAAAGAAGAGGCATTAGACTGCCTACCAAACTGACGGTCTACAGAGCCCTTTTGCTAACGTCATTGTTGTATGCCTGTGAAACCTGGACAGTACACCACTGCCATGCCAGGAAGTAGAATTATTTCCCTTACAGATGTGCCACTCTTCTAAAAGATAGAGAGGATCATGACTAGACTCTTCCACTCCACTCAGCAATCCACAGAGGGATTCTCAGAGTCCTACAAAGATCCTGGAATGGAAAAGTTGGGATTGGTAAAGAATGAAATGCAGAATGGTGTACAGGGGGCCCCTGGAGGCTTCAGGACAGTTCTTGAACTCCCTTACTGAGTTCTGATGTACCCAAAGCCAGTCCATGTGGAGCCTTCCATGCAGGAAATCAACTTTGGTGCATTTTAGGTGGGTCTGGTGCTATATTCCCAGTCTAAACCAAATAGCAGCCATCATGTTTAGCTGTCTGAGCCTAGCTGTGAGAGCAGTCTTGGGGCAACCTAGGTGGTCCAACCTTGCGCTCCCAGCTTGAGCAAAACAGAGTCTGAATCTCAATTGTGTTGAAACCCAGTCATAGCATAACAGAGACCAATCTCTAGTAGTTTCAGGCTGAGTCCAGCATGGCCCCAGGAGCCCCAACTGGTTGGTTGTTGTCCGTTGCTCCCGAAGAGGACCAAAATGACATCACTGTGTTGGAGTCAAGGTACAGTGTGTCTGACTGTGGCCAATTAAACCAATATGAGCTTGGAAGGCTCTACCACAGGTTGGGAACAAATAGTCCATTTGAACACTTGGAGTGGAGATATCTCTAAATTTGCACATTTCATTTCTTTTGAGTTATTGTAATTCTGTTTCACTCATAGAGCATAGCATCTCCTTTGATTCAGGAATGCCATACTGAGTGGTTCTTTGCCAGCATCTCCCATGTCACACAATTGATTTCAAAGTTCTTTAGACAGACCTTAAGAGTGTCCTTGTAGCACTTCTGACTACCACGTGAGCTCCTGCCTTGTGTTTGTTCTCCATAAAATAGTCTTTTAGGCAAACAACATGTCATTTAAACAACATGGTTAGCCCATCGTAGTCAAGCTCTCTGCAGTGCAGTTTAAATGCGTGGCAGTTTATCTTGAAAAAGGACCTCAGTGTTCAGTACTTTATATTATCAGATGGTCTTTGGACTTTCTAAGACAATTCAAAGGGAAATAATTCCATTTCCTGGCATGGCAGTGGTGTACTGTCCAGGTTTCACAGGCATACAACAATGACGTTAGCAAAAGGGCTCTGTAGACCATCAGTTTGGTAGGCAGTCTAATGCCTCTTCTTTCCCACACTTTCCTTCAGAGCATCCTAAACACTGAGTTAGCTCTGACAATGTGTGCATCGACTTCATCTATGTGTATATCCCTGGGAAGTATACTGCCAAGGTAAGCAAACTTATCCACAGTATACAAAACTTGTGTATTTGTTGTAACTAATGGTTCCACATATGGATAGTGTGGTGCTGGCTGGAGAATCTGAATTTTCTTGGTGTTAATTTTAGGCCAAAATTAACACAAGTAGCAGAGAATCAATTCACACTTTGTTGCATATCAGTCTCAGAGGCCGCATTGATTGTACAATCATTTGTGAATAAAAAGTCACGCACCAACTCTCCTTCTACTTTAGTCTTGGCTTGTAACTTTTTTCAAGTTAAATAGTTTACCATCAGTGTGGTAGCTGACTTTGCTACCATTTTTGTCTTCAGTGAAGACATCTCATACTAAAAAGCATCAGAGCAAGCACACAGCCCTGCTTCAGTTGGTGACTGGGAAAGCATGAGAACTTTATCCATTATCCAGAACTCATGCAAGCATGCCATTGTGGAAGTGGCATATGATACTGATGAACTTCTCCAGGCAATCAAATTTTGCCATGATCTTCCACAAGCCTTCATGACTGAAAGTATCAAAGGCCTTGGTCAGATCAATAAATGTTGTGTATGGACCTCTGTTGTGCTCCTGGCATTTCTTCTGCAGTTGTCAGGTAGCAAATACCATATTGACCATATCTCAGTCCTTTCTGAAGCCACACTGGCTCTCAGGTAGATGACCATCTTCCAGGTGAAGGATCAGATATTAAGGAAGAGTCTGGCAAGAATCTTGCCAGCAATGACTAAGAGAGAGATTCCTCCCTGTGGTTGTCACAGGACAATCCATTTCCTTTACCTTTATATAGATGGACAATAAATAAATCCTTGGATTTATAAGGACAAATAAAATCCTTGAACTCCTGGGGCATAAACTACTTTTGCCATATAACCTGAAAAATTTCAGTCAGCTTTTGTATGAGTAATGAACCTTTTGCCTTTTAAATCTCTGCTGAGATGGAAGCAGCACCGGGCACTTTGCCATGTGAGAGGAGCCTAATGGCATTTGAAACCTCTTCTTTAGCAGGAAATTCAGCTAGAGGGGTATTGACTTCAACCTGAGGTATATCGTCAATGGCTTCAGCATTGGTTGATTGATGATGGTCTGTTGATAACATTATGAAAGTATTTAGCACATTTCTCCAGGATCATGTGCTTGAGATGCACCAAAGGTCTTTGATCTATAAATAGCCTTCAGAGCATCATAAAAGTGCTTTTGGTTGTTACTATCAGTGTAAAACTGAATTTCATCTGTATTCTTACTGAGCCAAGAATCTTGCATCTCTCTGAGCTTTGTTTGTACTTTATTTTTGATGGAGTTCTTAGAGATGGATGTACTATCCTTCTGGTAAACCCTGTGAAATTCTTGTTTGTCGTTCAGCAACTTCTGAATTTTCCCATCATTTTCATCAGACCAGTCTTTATGTTTGCAAGTATTCTGACCCAGATGAGTAAATACAGTTGTATACACCAAGTCTCTGAAAGCTGCCCATTCCTTTTCTGCTCCACTGTTGGCAAATGTATATTGGATCAGCTTTCCCTCTAAATTAGCAAC